TATCCGGCTCGTTGAAATTGTGTAGTCAAAAGTAGCCAAGTTTTTCAGAAAATGGCATTGGTTGTAATCTGTGGACAACCCTGCAGTGGGAAGTTAATGGCTGCACTCTGTTAAATTTGGTGAAAACATTATGGTAATTGTACCTACAAGTTAAAAGTGTGGGATAAGCTACAGGGTGAAGATGGTGCATCAATCTTTGACTTGTGGTGTAGCTAATAGGCAGTGTAGCAAGTGATAGTTTCATGCAATGATGGCTTTGGTAAGAGTTGTCAGGAGATAAAGTCTTCATACTGAAGGAAGCTTGTTGCTGACTCTTCTCCCTCGCTTGTTGCCCACTCAAGCTTCTATATAAATAGAAGTGTAGCTTGTTTTGTTTTGGATGTGTATTCCGTGAGCAAGTTAGAGAGCACATAGAGAGTGAGAAACAGAGAGAAATCTTTGTGGGTGAGAGATAGAGTTCTTGGAAAATACTATGAGTGGGTGTATAAGGGTTTTGGGTTTGGGTATTATTCTTATAGTGAAGTACTCTAACCGGGGATGTAGGCAGGATTTTGCTGAACCTCGTCAATCTCTTGTGCATTATCTTTATTCCTTGTTTTTATTATTATGTTCAACTGTGGTTTATATTGTGGTGTGGTTATTTCTGAATCTCACGGTGAAAAAGCACTACAAGTGATATCAAAGTTTTATTTCGTGTGGGATTCAGATTTGTTCACCATGAGCAATGCAAACAACTTGCAATTTTTAGTTCAACAGTTTAACGGTAAAGGCAGCTTTACTATTTGGCATAGACCCCTTGGTTCAACCAGGTTTGGCACCTTGTCAAAGATGTAAAACTTGAAGGAATGAAAGATGAGACGCGGGAAGAGCTGGAGTCGTGATGCATTAGCACAATATGACATTATATTGCTGATAACATTATCAATAATTTTATGGATGAGGATTTTGCGCTTGCTCTGTGGGATAAGTTAAACCAGCTTTATATTGCTAAAAGCCTAACCAACAAGTTACATATGAAGCGGCAACTGTACAAGCTAAAGATGGAGGAAGGCTGGAATCTCATAGAACACTTGAGCATGTTCAATAGATTTATGTGTCAACTGCGGAAAATTGATGTGAACATTGAGGAAGAAGATAAGGTCATTTTACTTCTTACCTCGCTTCCCGATTCATATGAAAATCTTGTTACAACTTTGTTGTATGGTAAAGATGTAGTGAGCTTGGAATAGATGCAGGCATCATTGGAGTCCCATGATACACAAAAGAAAATGTGTAGTGGTGATGATAGGCACGAGTCTGCTTTAGCTGTTTAAGGAGGGAATCGCGGAAGGACATTTGATGGTAGATCTAAGAGAGATAGCAGGTTCAGTTCTAGTTCCAAAGGAAGGAAGGGGTGTCCAGTGCTACGTATGTAAAGAATTCAGTCACATCAAACGTTTTTGTCCTTTGAATAAAAATAAGAAAAATGATGAAGCTGGTTCAAGTGTTAATTTTTTGTGTAGCAAAAGAAGATTTCGAATTTGTCCTCACAATATCTGAAGGTAAAAACACTTTTCCTAGTGATGCTTGGGTTTTAGATTCTGGTTGTATTATGCATGTTTGCTCCAGGAAAGATTATTTTGATACATTCCATGAATGTAAGGATGGTAACCTATTTATGGGTGATGGATATCCTTGCAAAGTTGAGGGATTTGGAACTAGCAAAATAATGATGTGTGTTGGAGTGGTTCACGCAATAGGCGATGTGGCATATGTACCAAAGATGAGAAAGAATCTAGGGTAAACTACAGTAAATCCCTCAACCTATAGGGTTATTTACGAGTTCATACCCGATTTTGGGGACATTTACCAGTACATACTTAGAGGCGGATCCACAGAGGTGCAAGGAGGTGCATATGCACCTTCTCTCCCCAGAAAGAGCTCTGGAGGTTGTGCAATTTGCCCCTCAACTCTGCCATGGAAGTGCCCACAATCTGCTTGAAGAAATGCCTCTGCGAAATTGCCTTTTGTTTGCTGTGGTGTTGCGACGTTGGGCTGTTGCGCGCAGCACAGCCGCATGCATTGTTTTTAAAAGTCCCTGGCCAAAACGACTCGTTTTGGACAAGGGCAATGAACAAAAATAGGGATAAGCCTTATATTATGCGGATAGAACCCATTACCAAAGTACAATTAATATTATTAATAATTTAATATAAAGGGAGTCCTAAATTGAATTTAAGAAGCCAACAGACCCAAATCTCAAGGTTTGTGTTTTTTTCCCCTTTTGGTCTTTTTTTCTTTTGGTTTTTTATTTTTTTTTTTTTTTTAGAAAAATTCTTGGGTCTGCCACTGTACATACTCAACGTCACGGAAAACTTACAGATTGCCCTATCCGTTAGCGAGACCGTTAGGAAATCTGTTAAATGCCGACATGTCAAAAGTGGGACCCATTTTTTTGATGACGTGGACTTCCACGTGGACCAAAAATTAATAATAAATTATTTTAAATTAATTTTAAAATCTCTCTCTCTCTCTCTCTCTCTCTCTCTCTCTCTCACAGAGAACCTAGACCCATAACACTAGGGGTGGTTGCGGTTCGGTAACCGCGAATTTTTACTCAAACCGCAAACCGACCGACTATTTGCGGTTTGGTGATTTTTGAAACCGCAAACCGACCGCATTTTGCGGTTTACATGCGGTAAACCGCAAAATGCGGTCGGTTACCGCGAATTAGTGGTTTAAAACCGCAAGTTCTCAAGCATTCACAAAAATATAAATTCACAACCTAAATAAATAAATACACAACCTCAATTTCTTAAGCACATATAAATTCACAATCTCCTCAACTTCTCAAGCATTCACAACCTAAGAAAATTAAAGTTACAATTCCAAGAATTTCAATTAAAGTTAAACTTCTCAAACATTCCAATTCCAAATCTTTTAAAGTTACAAACCAAAAGGAAAATGCAAAGCAAAATGAATTAAAATTACAACCCAAAAGAAAATGCAAAGCAAAATGCAATGCACCAATGTTACAAACTAAAGTTACAAACTCAAGTGTTGGTGGTGAGTGGATTTGAAGAACTCCGTTGTGTTGTTTGAGCACCAATGTTATCTACAAATAAAACAACATAGTTTAGTACATTTTATAATAAGAAGAAGCATAAATAACATCAACATAAATAAACAAATTACTTACAAGTTGTCATATGTTCTATTTCCTTGTATAATTCAACTTTATCATCCGTGCGGCTATACTTTGCTGTTTGCGGTAACCGCAAGTTTTGAAAATTAAATACCGCAACCGCAACCGCAAATGCGGTTCGGTTTACCGCGATTGCGGTTTCATTGCAGTAAATTGTCGGTTGATTTTTGCGGTTTTTCAGTTTTTCGGTTTAAAATGCCACCCCTACATAACACACACTCTCTCTCTCTTCCTTCATAGCCTTCGTACAACCCCACCCCGACTGACTGCCTCTTCCCACACCCTACCAACCCACCCTCCCTCCGTGCACACCGCCTTCAAAGCCATCGCCACCGACCTCATTGTCGTTGTATAGTACCAAGGGCAAGATCTCCATCCTCATCAACTACATCTCCCCTTCCCACCTCCCCTAACACCAAAACCCAAGGTGGAGATTGCTGAATTTAGTGAAAGTATTATGGTAATTGGATACAGGTTAAAAGTGTGAGATAAGCTACAAGGTAAAGATGATGCAGCAATCTTTGACTTATGGTGGAGCTAATAGGCGGTGAAGAAAGTGATGGTTTCATGCAATGATGGCTTTGGTAAAAGTTGTCGGTGCGTAAAGTCTTCATATTGAAGGAAGCTTGTTGCTGACACTTCTCCCTAGTTTGGTGCCCACTCAAGGCTTCTGTATAAATAGAAGTGTAGCTTGTTTTGTTTTGGGTGTGTATTCCGTGAGCAAGTTTGAGAGCACATAGAGGGTGAAAAACATAGAGAAATCTTTGTGGGTAAGAGATAGAGTTCTTGGGAAATACTGTGAGTGGGCGTACAAGGGTTTCAGGTATGGGTTATGTTGATTTAACTCAAATGTATCTTGTAATGTTATTATTCTCACAGTGAAGTACACTATTAGAGGGACGTAGGCAGGATTTTGCCGAACCTCGTCAATCTCTTGTGCACCATCTTTATTCATTGTTTATATTATTCTGTTTAACTATGGTTTATATTGTGGCGTGATTATTTCTGAATTTCATGGGATTAATGATGAATTAAAAAAATATTAAAAAAATATATTAAATTAATCAAAAGATGAGCCTTGGGATGCAAATCTGGTCAGTTCAGTTCAAGCACATTAGCAATGCTGTGTAGTAGCTGTTAACTTCTCATTGTTGCAACTGTTATGAAAATTTATATAATCGTATGCATCAGTCTTTAATGTCTCATGGTCTTGTTTTTAAGGTTCGTTTATAGCTTGAGGAGATTCTGTGGGAGAAGAAACATGGCATGGATATATACCGCTGCAAAGGGGTTTTGAGATTTCACAATTCAAATCAATTACATACTTTGCAGGTACTGTCTAAAATTATGTGATTTCTTCTCTAGAAAAGTTTAGTCTTATCTTATGCTGCATTAGAATAACTCAGTTCCTCCAATATCATTTCGTGGTCAAGGCTGCGTTTGAACTCCTAATTTGGGCCAGGAGGGCATGCCCTGGTCTGATTGTCCTGTACTTGTACAGAAAATTCTTTTCATGTGGTAGTTGACAGATACTGTATGCTGTTATTTACACTTCTTTTTCATCGATATATGGCAGGCAGTGAAGGAGATATATGAGATAGCGTCTATATGTAAGCGCTTTTCACATTACGTTTTCTCAAACAGCTCCATTTACTTTCTTTATTTATTCATTCGTTTTTCACCTGCAGTTTGAATGTTCATACTGAGTCTTTTCAAGCTCGTGTAATGTGACGAAACTGTTTTCGTTTTCAGTTACAATAGTTTGTTGATTTTTGCACTCATATGGATCAATGATGTCTTCGTTGAATACTCTGAATTTACAATTCTGAACTCTCTCTAGATAACAAACTACTCTTGCATGAAATTGGGCTCCTCCCTCTTGGGAAAGTTCGAAGAAATTAGAACCAATAAAAATTCGTTCATTTTAACAATAAAGAAAATTATGGTGCAAGTATAACAATAGTCGGCAAGAACTGGAAGAGATCTCTCCAAGAAAAAGAAAAAAAAACTGAGAACTGCAACTTCCAATGTCCAAGACGACGGCAAAACTGGCATCCCTATATGAAGCACTAGGCTATTTCTGTCATATCAATTTGGTTCTGCTTCTTCAACAGGCCTAGCAGTCCATCCTGGTGGAAGTTTGTACGTGGAAAATTTGAAACTCCTTCGTGTATAATTCTGCACACCACATACCTCTCAATCTGAAACAGAGAAAATAAAATGACACAAACCAAACGACTTTAAAATTCACAATCTAAAACCAAATCATTAAAAGAACTTTTCTGCATAGTTTATAGTCTCTATACCTTTGCCCTTATGCTATCATTGAGGACATGAGTAGGGACTATAAGAGGATTAACCCTGTACTCATGCATGATAAAGTCAGTTTCGATTCCATTTGGTGCAGTCCCCTTATGGAAGACCATAACTTTTTCAAACCCGACGGTTATGTCGCCATTGCGGTATTTAACCTCTTCTTCCTCGCCATCTAAGTCCCAGTAACCACTCTTTGTCGTCCTTCTAGTTATCTTCCCTCTACTGCTGTAAACCTGTTCTGTATATGCGAAGTAAAAGGCCTCATTGCAGTCAAGACCATGTTTGAAATCACCTGTGAAAGGCATAACAACAATAATCGATTAGATCTGAACAATAAAGGAACATGTTTGTAGTTTTGAGAACAAAAAACAAAAACTAATGACATAATCTAAACTCAGAAAAATTTGAAGCCTTTAGATATTTGAAACCTACCATTGGGGAGCTCATCCGGATCATGGTCATAAACAGAAATCTCTTTTATAATGTCGTTGATAGGAAGTTCCCGGCCCAAAATCTTGTTGAACAGATAGAACACAACAATCTGATCTTCGGATGGATCAAACCGATACCCTACTAAATGGATCTCTGCTTCTTTCTTCCCATTTTCGATCTTCGAACACTTCAACAGATCAAAATCTTTTTCAGTTTCAGGAACTTGAGAAGTCGATTGTGGGGAAGGTAATGCCATGAAGAGAAGGACAATGATAACCTGAGCTTTGGTTTGGGTTTGAGTTGGTGAGTTGTGGGAGAAGCTTTGTTCTATAAAGCTGCATATATAGAAAAAATAAGGAAGTCAACATAGGAAACTGTCTTTCACTTTGCATTAATTTCATTCACCACTTAGGTATGTATTGGCTTATAAGTTATAAATAAATAAGGGCAAGTAGAACTTGACTTTTACTGCTAATGAAAAAGCACGACAACAACAACAAGGGCTGGTTGAGTTGGTAAGGAGCGTTCTATTCGCTAGCAAGGTCTAGGTTCGAGTTCCGTTGTGACTATCATTCTTTGTGGATAATTTGTAAAATCCAAAAAAGGGACAAAGACCACTCTATAAGTAATCAAAAAGACCTTGGTATGTCATGTTCCTCGAATGGGATAGCCTTCCCTCCCGTCCCCCTAAACTTTTTCACCCCCAAAAAAAAAGCACGACAACCCAAGGTAAGAAAAACTTAAATTAAACTGTAGACTTTTCCCACTACGACAAGGAAACAACCGACGTGGTATCCTATTATAGATATGAAAATTGGTTTTTAAGTTTTATCTTCCCCTTTTTCTGTTGATGCTTACGATCATTAGGGTAATAAGAAAAAGAAAAGGAAAACCTCATAAAATATGGCCAACTCTCCAACAATTCAAAATAAACATAATAACAAAAACCCATCATCCTAGATTGTGCCCGTCTCTCGTTTCACCCGAGTTCAATCCCAGTAGTTTACAAATCGTTTTGTCAAAGGTTTAGAGTTAGTCCTACAAACTCGTATACCTGGAAGAATAAGGCATATGACATGCGGTGGTCAAAGGTTTATATCCTAATTCATCTTTTGCACAACTGGTTTGCAGCGCTGTGGATCCTCCTATACTGAACCCTGCTGCTGGTGATGCAGCTCATGATATTCATAGGAAAAATACAATTAAAACATGTTGCGAAAGAAAAGGAGGATGAAAAACTCACCGAGATTGGGTTTGGTACACAGAGTCTCTAGGGTTTTAATGCTGGCACCATTTTGTGAGGAAGAGTGATGCCATTTATTGGTATTTATAATGTAATTTTTCAGCGAAAATGAAGAGCGTTATCGTCTCGCACGCGTGAGTCTTGGTGGCCAAATGAAGCGGCAGTGGCGCCCAAACCCATTCCAAATATTTCATATGTTCGGGTCGGGTGGGTCGGCAGAATCGAATAAATATTAATAACAAAGCCAGCGACGTCGTTTTGTCTCGCCCGAAACGAAAACGAAACCCTTCTGTCCCTGTAGTGTGCTGTAGCAGAACGGACTTTACTCTCGCCGTGTCTCCAACTTCAAACCGAAGTGTGAGTCTCTGATCTTCAGCTGAAATCGACTTCCTCTTCTCGTCAAAGAGGTGCTTCTTAAATCTCAAGCTCTGTCTTTCTAATTTTCTTTAATTTCCTGCGTAAGCTTGAATTTTTTATAATTGATTTCTAGTTCTTGTTTCGATTTGAGTTGATTTTGTCAATCGTTTAGTTTCTAGAGTTTTCTATCGTTATTAATTAGGGTTCCCAGTCTGCAGAGGCTTGTTTGTTTAACAAAAAAGTTACTGCTTGAAATTGTTGATACTTTCTCCTTTTCTCCTCGTCATTTCTAATAATGTATTCGCTTTGAGAGTGCATAAATTATCATGAAAGTCTTTACATCTGAATCTTACTACAATGGTCGTATTTGAATTTGATATACCTATTCAGATTCGATTTATAGCCATGTTAGTTGGAATAGGAACGATGGTAAATCTGATTTGGGAGTCCATTATACACATTCACGCTTACTGCAAATTACAAGCTATGTCTTTCATGCTAATGGATAACTCTGTTCATGTGAACTAGCAGCTATCGGAGCATCGTTTTTGAATCCCGAGCAGTTGGGATATTATTTTGGGTAGAGCATATCCAGCTCATTGAAACTGTGTAGTCAAAAGTAGCCAGGTTTTTCAGAAAATGGCATTGGTTGTAATCTGTGGACAACCCTGTAGTGGGAAGTCAATGGCTGCACTCTGCCTAGCTGAGGCTCTCAAAGAATCAGGATGCAACCAAACAGTCAGGGTTATTGATGAAACTTCCTTTCATCTTGACCGCAATGAGAGCTATGCCAATATGCCTGCAGAGAAGAATTTAAGAGGAGTGCTGAGATCGGAAGTTGATAGATCGGTGTCGAAAGACAGTATCATAATAGTAGATTCTTTGAATAGCATCAAAGGTTACAGGTATGAGCTGTGGTGTTTGGCTCGTGCTGCAGGAATAAGATACTGTGTTTTATATTGTGATGCTGATGAAACCCATTGTAGAAAATGGAATGAAGAGCGCAGGGAGAAGGGAGAAGGTGCTTATAGTGATAAGATATTTGAAGATTTGATAAGAAGGTTTGAGACTCCAGATAGAAGAAATCGGTGGGATTCCCCATTGTTTGAGTTATGGCCACATAAAGAGGGAATAGAAAATACTACTGCTGCCATTGTAGATGCTATTTCGTATTTGACAAAGAAGGCAGACTCAAAGTCACGGGATGTTAAAACTTTGCAGCCAACTATCGCAACACAGAATACAAGGTTTTCCGAGGCAAATTCTCTGTATGAGTTGGACAGAGCAACCCAGGAGGTGATCAATGGTATTGTGGAAGCACAATCCCAGGCACTTGGAGGGCCTTTAAATGGAGTTTCTGTTGGTGAGGGGTTACCACCTATCAATATTTCCAGAGCAGTAGGGCTTCCAGAGCTTCGTAGGCTGCGGCGAACTTTCATAAAATTGACGGGGCAAACGAGTTTAAGTGGGCCGCCTCCGCCTTCTGATGCAGACAATGCAAAAAGGATGTTTGTTGATTACTTAAACAGGGAACTGGAAACTGCTTGAAAGGGGAAAAGAAGGATGATTTTTTTGGAGGCTTCCTTCAGTTATCTCTGTGTTATATCAGTCTAGGATTGTGCCAGAGTCTTCGGCTAGCAAATACAGATGAATGGTTCCTAGTTGAACTGACAGGAACTGGTGTTGGGTTTCCCATATACCTCAATATCTTTTGTTGAACACTTTTACAACTCCGACAATGTATTATTTTGAAACTGCTTTTTTCCTACTCTCAATAGAATTATCAAGTTGTGTTTTAATTAATAACTTGATGGCATGGCCCTGAAATCTGATCAGTCGATATCCCGGTCTGCGAGGGACTCTTTAGTCTGCTTTGTATTTGAGCACATAGATTTTGTTTAGTTGATGTAAGTTGCTGTTAAAATCCTTGAAGAGCAAGGGATTCCATGACATTTCTTGCCCCATTGTATTAAAAGGTCTGGTTTTATTATGGTTGAGTTTGAGTTTAGCTTGATAAATTCTCTGATTCAGTTTGGATATGCAACCCTGATAAATGGCAATTCCCCATTTTGGAGAAAGACCCGAACTGGTAGTTGAAATTGGCAAGAGATGAGCAAGGGATTATGGAGCCAAACCCTTATTAATTTTTGATTTGTTTTTTGGTTTAGGTGCATAAACAGAAAGATAATAAGCCCAAGAGCCACATGGTTTGATTTTATGGAATTAAAGCTGTCATGTATTTTTCCCGGTCGAGAATCTCCTGTGACCCCAATCAAGGCAAATGTTGACCATCAAACGATACAGGGCTTCTTCTTTACAAAAAAACAAAAAACAAAACAAAAAAGGCAAGGCTTTAACCAATATGATTGGGACAGCTCATATTCTAGCAGCACCACTCTGGACCACCACAGTTGGCAAAAAAAACTCTCAACTAAAAAGCAGCAACATCACGGCCCATATTTTTATTGGCTGCAGCCAAGATCAAACCAAATTAATTGAATAAGGGAATTGGTTTGGTCTGGGCAATTTTGGGTTGGTTGGTTCCAAACACGCAAATGTTTCCAAACACGCAAATGTTTCCAAACAAACGTGACAATTTAAATAAAAAGTTAAAAAACAAAAGAATAAAGGGAAAACATTTTGACAACGAGGTGTTTGAAATAAATTGGAATTATTGGAGAGAGGCTTTGTTTTGTGATGATGGGTCGAGGTCCACACAGCAAAGGAAGCTAAAAATTAGCCAAATGGAGTCCTGATTAAAACTAATTAATCCACTTACCAATGACGGCTAAATCACAGCCGTCCATTCTATATCCATCGGAAGGCCAGTCCTGTAGGCATACGTCATGGCGTAGACAAAAAACAACCAAAAACAAATAGTAATTAAAAAAAGTAAAAAAAAGTGCAAAACACAATAAATAACAATGATTCCCATCAATTCATTTTAGTTTTTATATTATTATAAAAATTGAATGATTGTTTTTGTCTAAATATGCGAGCCCCCTGGATCTGATTAAGTATGAGAGATATAAATATACATGAGCACGAACTAAAACAGAAAACACAACAAACTCAAATAACTAGAATTCCTATAAATTTGGACTGATAAATAAAGTTAGACTCTTTCTGTGTTTTGAAGCTTTTGAATCTCTCTCTTCAACGACCCAAAACCGGTAAGCATTCCCAAAACCCTAATTGTCAGTTTCTGAGGATGAGTTTCTTTTTACTGTTATTAAATTCGAATCAATCTGGATTAATTGCTTTATGATTATTTATGGGATGGTAGTGGTTCCTTTTGCTTTTGATTGGATCTGAGTTGAAATTTTTGTTTTCCATTTCGGGATCTGGAATTTGTCTCACTGATATCTAAAAAAGGAAAGTGATGCATTTATTCTGGGCTTATCTTGCTCTGTTTGGTTGCTGGGAAGCATGGAAAATAAAAATGGAATTTGGAATCTTGTAAGTGGAATCTGTTGTAAGATTCACTTGTAGTTGTCTCAGCAACCAAATGGGGACTTTTTATTTGGGACAATTATTGTGATGGATTGATTTGGTGGATCTTTGGTTTTTGCTGCAGGTTGGTCTTGGCCGAACACTTTGTCCTAGTCCTGTTTCTTTCCGAATTTGGCATTTACTTAATTGGTGGTGCAAAGTTTCAAAATTTGCTGATTCATACTGAATTGTGTTGGGTTGTGATCTGAAGTTTTTTTTTCTGATGGCACAATCAGAAAGTGAAGATTTGCAGATGTTATTTTGGAAGAAGTGGAATTTATTCTTTCAATGCTTGTAGGATTCAACTGGTCTCACGAAAATATACACAGAAGCTTTTATGTTATGATAGATTATGGTTTTCACAATTCTTGGATATTTAAACTGAAGGACTTGGTGATTTAGTGGGCCTATTTTGGAATTCTTAAGTCGGGGTTGCACGATTCGGACATGAGAAGCTCCTGGTCCAATAAACTTTCTCTCATTTTTGGCCCTAGACCGCCACTCAATTGGTTACTCTTGTGCCTCGTTAGTGTTCTTGCACTAATTGCAGTGTTGGGATCATCCTCTTCAAATACATTTGAGTCTCTAACTCCCATTTCAGTACCCGACATCTATACAAACTATAGGAGGCTAAAGGAGCAAGCAGCGGTTGATTATCTGGAGCTGAGGTCTCTCTCACTAGGGGCTAGTCGACAAAGAGAGCTAGGCCTTTGTGGCAGAGAAAGAGAAAATTATGTGCCTTGTTACAATGTTTCGGCAAACCTTTTTGCGGGGTTTAAAGATGGGGAGGAGTTTGATAGGCAGTGTGAAGTATCAAGAAACAGAGAACGGTGCCTGGTTCGCCCTCCTAAGGACTATAAGATTCCCCTGAGGTGGCCAGCTGGTAGGGATGTGATATGGAGTGGAAATGTGAAGATAACCAAAGACCAATTTCTTTCGTCTGGGAGCATGACCAAAAGGTGCTTCCCAGTTGAAGCAATATATTTGACAGCTTTCAAATAATTGATGATCTTTTATCTTCACCAGTGATTAAAACATTTAAATTTCTTGACTCTATGCAAATTGTATTAGTTTTGGTGTTTTCTTTTCTTTTCGTTTGTGAGTGACTAATTATTTCTGTGTAGAGTCATTCTTTAACTTCTTTACAATTTATTCAGGTTGATGTTACTAGAAGAAAATCAAATTGCCTTTCACTCCGAGGATGGTTTGATTTTTGATGGTGTCAAGGATTATTCTCTTCAAATTGCAAAGATGCTAGGTTTAAGTGATGACTCTCAATTTCTTCAAGCTGGTGTAAGCCTTCT